TAAAAGATGTTTTTTAGCAACATGGAATCAAGAGGGCTAGAGCATTGGGTTTTTATAGTGCTCCAGTTTCTCTCTCTAAGGACTTATCTGTAAGTGATCATCCGGGACTTATAATACAACCGTGAGGGCTAAATGGCTCTGGTTTTAGTCAAGTATGAGGACCTTTTCTAGCTTGTTAGAGGTTACCTTTATGGTGCAAAAGGGGCTTGATGAGATAGGTGTAGGACAGCCTCTATTCCTATGAGTATAGCCGCGAAGGTATTATGCCATTCGAAAGTGGGGTTCCTACATCTACTTGCCAACGAAACCTAGCGGCCCTAACTTGTTAGACGAACCTTTGAAAGACTTCATAGTGAATCCTACCGACCTTCCTTAGAAGTGGGTCAAAAGGTTGGCCGCCTCGGGCGAAAGGGTAAATCACGACTCATGGGTAAAGTTGTACAACCTCTGCAGAGTGTAAAACTGGTATATCAGCTGTGCTCATGGTCATGAGCGGCCTTTGACTCCTTACTGAATAGATGATGAACACTGATGATACTGATGATAAAAATGCTCCCTTAAGATTATTGTTTTTGCTATACATTATTCTTGTTTACATGATTATGTGGTTATTTGGGGGCTATTGCTTAACTTGTTGCTACTCAATGGTTAAAAGATGACTTACTAAAAGCTAATTGTAGTAAACCAATGTCAGCCTTTTGAGCTTCATAACCCCATGTTATATTGCTGAGTACAAAATATACTTACGCTTGCTTTATTCTTTTCAATTCTTGGATAAAAATCTTGGATGTGTACCAGATTGCTAGAGTCTGAAGGAGTTAGGCTTGTGATCAACCAGTCAATTATCCCTGTGGATTTGGAGTATTCGCTTGAAGATCGAAGTTGTCATTCCACTGTTTGCTATCTAAGGTTATATCTTTTAAACTAAGTACGTTATGTATTTAAGCATTGTCTTTTGATATTACCACCATTTGTAGCTATATGTGAGATTTGACTTCCTGGGCTCACATATGGTGTGTATCTGGTTTTGTCCTTAAAACCGGGTGCTACATGACTCATCAGGCCTCCACAGCTATTGCCACAAATCGCTCCCCTCTTTTTCTTAACAACATTCTTGTGTCTCCTTCATTTGTTAAGAATCTCATCTCTGTTCGTTCTCTTACGCGAGACAACAATGTGACTGTCGAGTTTGACCCGTTTGGTTTTTCCATCAAGGACACACCGACACAAATGATGCTCCTACGATGTAATAGTACCGGCGATCTGTATCCTCTGGCACCGTCATCGCCGGAGGCTCTCCACACTACTGCGCCCACCATCGACCTCTGCCACCTCCTATTCGGACATCCAGGACACAAATCTATCCATCACACCCTACATCACCTTGACTTCAGCTGCTCCAAGTCTTCTGGTCACGTTTGTCAGTCTTGTCGGTTTGGGAAGCATGCCAGGCTTCCATTTTCTTCTTCGGATTCCATTAGCTAGTTCACTTCTAGATTGTACATGCCGATGTTTGGACATCTCCCGTGTCTAGCTGTTCTGGTTTTAAGTATTATCTTGTCTTAATCGATGATCTCACTCACTACGTTTGGACTTTCCCTTTGCGATGTAAGTCTGATGTTCTTGCTTGTTTACTATCTTTCCACGCATATGTTCAGACATAGTTTCAACTCCCTCTGATTTCACTCCAAACCGACAATGGAAAGGAGTTCGACAATCATGCTCTCCACACTCACCTTGCTGCTCATGGCGTTGCCCTTCGTCTCTCATGTCCTTACACTTCTTCTCAGAATGGGAAAGCCGAGCGCATAATTCGGACTCTGAATGACTGCATTCGTAGTCCTCTTCTTCATGCCAGCATGCCACCTTCTTTTTGGGTGGAAGCTCTGTCCATGGCCACCCACCTTCTCAACCGTCGACCCTGCCAGGCCAGTGGCAAGCTTGCCCCTTTCAGCTTCTGCTTGGTGCTCCACCCAGCTACGACCATCTTCGCGTGTTTGGCTATCTCTGCTTTCCAAACCAGGCCACCACCGCGCCGAACAAGCTGAGTGCTCGATCCACCGCTTGTGTTCTTCTTCGGTATCCGTCAGATCATCGAGGCTATCGATGCTTTGATCTTGCTACCCAGCGCATCCTTACTTCGCGTCATGTCGTTTTCGATGAACATCAGTTCCCCTTTGGTGCTGAACGGGCGACTCCTTCTCCTTGGGTTACTGTTCTCGATCCGACAACAGACATGGTCGTTCTTCAGCAACCAGCTCCGACCTCAATTCCGCCACACGCTCCTCTAGCTGGTCCTTCGGGATCTTCCACCTCTATTCTTGCACCCTCCCCACCTTCACACCAGCCCTTGCCTTCACCATCCTTCGAGAGTGTTGCGCCCGCGGTCGTCACATCTTCTCCGCTGTCCGCAGCATCCAACCGGCCATCGCTCGGCGTCTCTCCCTCCGTGCCTGCACATCCGATGATCACTCGTGCATGGGCTGGTGTTTACAAGCCTAATCCTAGATATGTGCTCGCCACAGACTCGGCAACCTCTCCAGCCAGTCCAGACTCTCCCCTTCAATCATCCGTTCGCGTGGCTCTGCGCGATCCCATCTAGTATGCTGCGATGGAACATGAATTTAGAGCGCTTCAGGCCAATCGTACCTGGAGGCTGGTTGATCGCCCGCCTGGTGCCAACATCATCTCTGGGAAATGGGTTTTCAAGCACTAGTTCAACCCGGATGGTAACCTCGAGCGGTATAAACTCGGTGGGTCGTTCGCGGCTTTACCCAACGTGCCAGCGTCGACTTCGGTGAAACCTTCACGTCGGTCGTTAAGCTGGCCACGATTCAAACCGTGCTCACCATTGCTTCTTCCCATCAATGGCCCACGCGACAACTCGATGTCTCCAACGCCTTTCTTCACGGGCATCTATAGGAATACGTGGATAACATGGTGCCCACCGGGTCTAGCCAGGACTTGCTGCAACGCATCGTTGCGCATCTTCATGCCGAGTTTGCCGTCAAGGATCTCGGCAAACTACGGTTCTTCCTCGGCATCGAAGTCAAACGTACGGCTGCTGGATACTTCCTTTCCCAGCAGCGGTATGCGGAAGATATCCTGGACCGTGCCGGCATGGTGAACTGCAAGCCGGCGAGCACACCCATCAACACCAAAGGCAAACTTTCCTCGGACGGTCCCAAGGTCGACGACGCCAAGCAGCACAGGAGCCTGGCCGGTGCGCTGCAGTACCTAACTATAACGCGCCGGACCTGGCTTTTGCGGTGCAACAGGCATGTCTGCACAAGCACGATCCGCGCGGACCGCATCAGGCTCTACTGAAACGCAATTTGCAGTACGTTCGCGGGACGAGCAGCATGGGTCTGTGTCTCCGCGCCAGCTCCGATCTCACCGTCACGGCGTACTCCGACGCCGACTGGGCCGGCAGCCCCGACTCACGGCGTTCGACGTCTGGCATCTGCATCTTTCTGGGGGACGCCCTGGTGTCATGGTCCTCCAAGCGGCCGCCACGGTCTCTCGATCGAGCGCTGAGGCTGAGTATCGCGCCGTCACCAACGCCGCTGCTGAGTGCATATGGTTGCGGCACCTACTTGATGAGCTCCAGTGCTGCGTCGCCAAGGCCACCGTCACCTATTGTGACAACGTCTCCGCTGTGTATATGTCCGCCAATCGAGTGCTTCACAAACGCACCAAGCACATAGAGCTGGACATTCATTTTGTTCGAGAGCGTGTCCAGCTCGGTGATCTTCGCGTCCTCCCTGTTCCCACCGGCGAACAGTACGCGGACATCATGACGAAGGGCGTGCCTACCTCAATATTCCAGGAGTTCGGCTCCAGTCTGTGCGTCGTCCCAATGACCCAACAGACTGCGGGGGGTGTGGAAGCAATACGTTCTACCGGCCACATCTGCGGTTGGTCAGCGCCCTCACGTCATGTTCATGCGGTGACCGACCGCGTCGCCCACGTTCTGTAACTGTGCGCTCCGCGTACACGGTTTTGTACTCGGTATAAATGTTCTTCAGAGAGCAACACAAACAGTCGTTGGCTCCTATTCTTGTCTTCTACAAGAAGGAGGGCTGGCACATGAGCGGGCACCTCACCATCCAAAAGCGCTGCTGCTGATGCATGACAACAGTTTGAGGCAGTACTATAAGTTTCGTTTCAGTTTCCTCAGAGGCAATTGTGTGTGTCACCATGACGCTCCTTGCTCCAGCGCTCCAGCCCATCAACAATAAGCTTTTGTTTCGTTTCCGTTTGCGGTTATTTTGAATTATTTTTCATAATGGTGGACTAGGTAATTTAGATGTAGAATTAGCAATTACTTTATGTATTTTTTATAATAACCGAGTTGGATAATTTTTTTGTAAACAACAATAAATCCAATGGCTATTGCCGGTAATGATGATTAGAGTTTAACAAATTAAATGCCAGATTTTTCTGACTACTGTGAGAATTTTTAGGATTTATCAGTTTTTCCTAGCACGTGTTAGGGTCTTTAAATAGTCATAGTAAGATAAGATATGATGATAAAGTGCGGATATATTTATTTAAGCTTTCACAGTTTCCCAGTCAAATTAAAGTTTTAAAATCTTCATGGATATTTTCAAAGTATTTACGACTACCGACATCACTACTAGTAGCCTGTCAATGCAAGGAAGAGACGCACACGGCTGTTCCGCTTTGTCTGTGTCCAGATATTATCGACCAAATGAACGGCTGGAAACAACAGTGCGAAAAGTACACTTTTCTGGCGTGGCCGATTGCGACGACGTGTAGCGACTGGCGTCGGATCGATGAGACGGGCAAATGGACACTGTATCTGTATCAGGGGCCAGTAGGCGACAAGCTCGCTGCCAGATTTTACAAAAGATTGGATCGTCGTGTGGTGTCTGTTTGCTCTCATAAAGCACCGAATCACTGAAGCAGCTAGCTAGCATACTTGCGTAAACTGGGAGGTGAGACGCGCGCACGGAGACGTACGGAGGGAGAGGGCCATGGCGGCCGCCGGCGGGAATAGCAGGGGTGAGCGGTGGAGCCTGGCGGGCGCGACGGCGCTCGTCACCGGCGGTACCAAGGGGATCGGTCACGCCATCGTGGAGGAGCTGGCTGGCTTCGGTGTGCGGGTGCACACGTGCTCGCGCAGCGCGGCAGATCTGGAGGCGTGCCGCCGGCGGTGGTCCGAGAAGGGCCTGCACGTCACCGTCTCCGCCTGCGACCTCGCCGTGCGCGCCGACCGGGAGAGGCTCATGGAGACTGTCAAGGCCACCTTCGACGGCAAGCTCGACATTCTGGTAAGGTGTTGAAACCTGCTGTCCTCTCCCGTACATCCTATCCAAGTCCATTCGACGACGACAGATCACACTACTCATACTGAGCATCCATGCACTATACCATAAAAAAAGGAGTGTTTTCAGAGGCGGCCTCGACGATGCCCCTCTCTGCTATAACATCACTGTTTAATCAGAAATTATAAAGGCAGGATTCACGCTTATCTTTGGAAATCGATGAAAGAAAAAAAAAGCCAGCAAGCTGGAACGGATGGCCGCTGGCCGAGCCCACTCCAACCAACCGTCCATCCACGGGGCCCACTTCCGAGCCCAACAGCAGTAGTCTGTCTGCACACAGATATAGATGTGCATACAGCCAGCAGCCCGGTGGCCCAGCCCGAAGCACAGTTTTTTTAGCCCGGTCCGGTGTTCCATGGGCTAGGGCCGGCCCGGCCTGGTGCATATGGCCGTGCCTAGGCCGCTACTCAAGCATACCACCGGGTGGCACGGCCCGACACACCATTTAAAGATAGGCCCAGTGGCAGATCGGTGACCTCCACAGCATGCTAACAGCCCACCGCGCCCCTTCCTATTCCCTAACCCTAACTTCATTCCCCCCCCCCTCCCCCTCCCCCTCCCCCCACCATGGGTCTCGCGCCATCGATGATGTCAAGCTTGAGGACAAAGAAGTTGAACCAGAGCCGCCGCCGCGCGGATGCGGGCTTTCCTTGCTCGGATCTAGGTCGTACTCGATGGAGCCGCCCAACCAGTGCCAGATCCACCGACACTGCCCTTCGCGCCCCCGGACGATCGCCGCAGCCTAACAAGGGGTGCCCCACACACACCGCCACCCCCGCATGTCCATGGATGTCATGACACGTGTGCCCTAGGACGGGTTGCCACAACACTGCCGCCCTGCATATCCATGGATGTGCCACCATTGCCTATTCCTGACCTCGGATGGGTTGCCGCCGCACCTTCACCTCCTCGCCGACGACTGCCTCTCTAACCTTCCAAGGCCTGCCGCCGCCCCTGCATGCCCTTTGATGGGCTGCCACAGCACCTTCGCCTCCTCATCGAGAACGTGCCGCCTTGCTACCGCCACAGGCTTCTCCACTGTCCTTTGTGCCCTTGGCTCGGTTCTCCCTCTAGAGAGAGAGGGTGAGAAAAGAGAGTGCATTGGGTAGGTTAGGCCAGCAAACCACCATGTGCACTCTCGGCAGCTTGGGAGCTGTAGCCAGCTGGCGTCGACCTCCTGGGGTGTGGTCGGCCGGTGGCGTGGGATCCTGACAGCGGCGGCGGCCTCCAGCAGGCGGCGTTGGGCAAAGGGTGGCGGCATCGGGCTCCTACTACGGAAGGACGATAGAGGAAAATTGTGCCATAGCCAGATGCACGTCGGGCTCCTGCTAAGGAATAGTGTCTCCCAAGGATGGAAAATGTGCAAAGATAAAAGAATCAGAGTATATGCAACAATAGGTGAGTATCTCAATGGTTCTTTCATTGCCTAGAAAGCCAGATGACGCGGGTTCGATCCTTCCTCACTATGGGAAGCTCCCAATTTTTAATTGTTTTACAGTTAATATTTACCTTACAGGTGGGTCCAACCAGTCCACCTAGGCATGCCTGTGCCAAAGTGTTTTTTAAATGATTTTTAATTTATGACCATCACATTCCATCAATTTCATCATGAGTTATTGTCATAAAGATTGGGGAAAATGGTTTTTAATTTATGACCACCACTTTCGTCGTGAACTATTGTCACAAAGATTGGGAAAGGCACATGGTGACGATTGTTTATGACTAAATCACAACTTAGTCACAAACACTTGTCATCCAAAGAAAAATTATCATAAATGCATCGTTTCTATAACTAAAAAGTGCTTTGTCATATGAAAATTGTCATAAAAGGTCTAATCTCTTGTAGTGGAGGGAAGGGTCGCTGCTGATTGAGTTGGGAGAGAAATAGAGAGAGAGAGAGCTGAGGGAGGAGTGAAGGTGATGGCAGAAGCCTAAGTGTGTGCTTATATACGCATGTTCGGTATTGGGTCTTATGGGCCTCAGGCTGATTTAGTGAGACATCTGTTAATAAAAAAAACTCGGACTGTGGTGGGATAGCATGCGTCCCCCGAGCATTTCACATTAAGGTAGAGGACTCCTCATCCAGTCTGAGAAAACCCCCGAACCTCATACCCCGCCTTCACACAGGGGCCCGTTAACCTGTGAGTGAGACGGTGCCACAAACCTCTGCTTTGGGTAACGTGGGGCAGACGATGATTTTTTTTTTTACTTCCGGCACTGCAACTCGCCCCCGTGGGGGATTCAACCTAGGCTGCGAGGGTGCCACCCGGAGTGCTTGACCAGCGCCAGTTTGTCTTTGAAAACGAGTCGCCCCCCTCTCAAAACCAATGGTTATATTTGGAGACTTCTTGTATGCTTTTGCTAATCGAACACACTGTGTTCCAAAATCATTTTTGCAGTTGTGATGCATGCTTGTACGTACACAGGTGAACAAAGCGGCGCAGCTATTCCCAAAACCGGTGGCACAGTGCACGGCGGAGGACTTCTCGCGTTGCATGGCGACCAACTTGGAGTCGTGCTTCCACCTCTGATTTCTGAATACAATTCTAAGCATGTAGCTTCCAAAGTTTTAAAGTAAATAATTATTCTTGTTTGGTTTTTATACAGTTTACTTGTTCATATGTAATAGCATGTAACTTCCAAAGTTTTAAAGTAAATAATTATATTCTGATTTCTGAATGTCAAGAATTTTGAATTTGACATTCCATTTTCCTTGTTAAACTCCTTGGCATATATACGGAGCACCAAAAAAACTGGAAAATTCGAAAGTATTTAAATCACAAACACCGTAAGTGCATATGTAACAAATTTACTTGTTCGTGGTCGTGAATTGGCTTTATTTGCACGCATGCAGCTGGAATGAACCAACTAACAAGGAGCCTAGCGGCTGAGTGGGTCAGCGATAAGATTCGTGTGAACTGCGTGGCACCTGGACTGATCAACACAGACATGGCCAGAGGGGTACGTACTTACACTCTTATATAGAGACACAGTGTACAATTACTATCCTTGCCTACATGAAATTAGTTGACAATGGACATGTATATTATACTCCTACAATCACAGGCACCACCGGAGGCCGTGGAGCAATCTTTATCCAGGGTCCCTATGCGGCGGGCCGGTGAGCCGACAGAGGTGGCGTCCATGGTGTCGTTCCTCTGCATGCCGGCGGCGTCCTACGTCACTGGCCAAGTCATCTTCGTCGACGGCGGCCGGAGCATTAGTGCCTGATCGAGCAGGGCAGATAATGATGCTCTGCTGGTTAGGTCTTATTGGTTTTTATTGCTCCGTATTTTTGTTTTGTGGCACCACGCTATTGTCTCTATATTTTTGTTATTATTTTGGATGGTATTATTATTGCACACTCTTGCTTGTCATTTTACGTTGCCTCTACGTATAGCTTTCTGAACCTTTTGTTTCAGTAATGTTATTGTGGCAGCTCTGAGATGGGCATCAGCTACAGTGTCGTTTATAAGATGTGTCGATGGTAACCTATCTGTGAAGTCGGAGGGACTCCTCCAGCTTGCTTCTACTCTCTCTCCTCCAGTGAGGAGGCTCCACATCTCGCCGTCGGCCGCCCCGCTGCCATCCTCTGTTTTTGTGTATCTTGTGTGTTCAACTTCAACTAGTACTACAATGTTGCGATGCCAGTGACAAATAGTTCAACGTGGTTGAGTTGATTACAGCACACAACAGACGTACTAATAATGTTGTGTGTTCATTGCAGTGACAAATAATTTGAGCCGGACTAAACACCAACTGATACTACAGTGCTGTTGAGTGGATCTTCTGTGTTCAATTTGAACCAGTACTGGAGCACAATAAAAGCTGCCAAATATTTTGAATTTTTGATGATACGTTCTGGAGAAAAGTCCCTGCAGCTGATGAACGAATAACTGAACTACTGTATATATGCTGAATAATCTTACAATGCAACTTGACACGGCCATATTTTGAACCCAACCCAAAACAAACGGAATTTCATATGAAGTTGCTTTCATAAGCACGTGCTTTCCACACGTGTATTTTCACTAGTTTAATTGTAAATCTCGCAAATTTTAAGTATTCTAAGGGTACATACACTCGAGGAAAATATGTATTCAGGACCGTACAAAAATCATATATACCGCAAATATGTATTCAGTGACTTGTCAATCGTTGCATTTGCTTGAAAGGTCACCGTGCGCACAGCACAGGCGAGGCCACATAGGCTGACCGGCTTAGCCAGAAGGACGGTCTGTGTCTCCAACATGGTTAAAATTTGAACTGCATTATTGCAGTGAATCTGTGTAGTTCCTGTTCCTCCATCTCGGCATTGTTAATAATGGTCATTTGAACTGCATTGTTGCAGTGCATGGTTCAGTCTCAGTGCACGCCACTAGTACTTTTGCTCATCTTCGCCTCCGTCACCCTCCGTCACAGGAATGCAGAGGTCCTCTGTTAGCTATATGTTCTTAAAGATATAGGGGCTGTTTGGATCTTTAGTACTAAAAATTAGCACTATGTTTAGATGCTAATTAGAAAGATCAAATGTGAACTAATTTTAAAATTAATTGCATAAGCGGTGACTAATTAGTGAGATGAATCTATAAATCCTAATTAGGCCTTGATTAGCTTACATGGTGCTACAGTACATAGGCTAATCAAGGGCTAATTAGGATTAATATATTCGTCTCACTAATTAGTCACCGTTGATGCAATTAGTATTAAAATTAATTTATATTTAGTCCTTCTAATTACCATCAAACACAGTGCTATTTTTTAGCAGCTGAGATTCAAACTGGACCTTATTACTCAAAGCTTTCAGGACTAGGGCTGACCCAAAAATTCAAACCAGCCCAATTTTTTTTGGCACGTTTTATTTTGTCTCAGGGCCCATCTACATGGACGGACTTCACTGAAGTTCGGCCCATTCATTCCAAATACCAGAACCAACCTTATCTCCA